CTGTGCTGGGCAGAGGGCTGGGAGAGAGAGAGACAGCTGGGACTGGGCTCGGCAGCTGGGGCCCCTCCCGATGTGATGCAGGTGGAGTCTGGGTTGTCTCCAATGAAGTATGTACCGACTGTGTGCTGCCTTTCATTTCCTCCTGGGGCCAGGGTGCGGGGAAATGGAGGCAGGGACACGGGGGAGAGTGTGAGGTGACAGGATCTTCCTGAAGAAGATGCTGGAAGCTACCATCTGTCCATTTCCCAACTGCTATTGATCCTAGTCTGTGGTAGTGAAGAGGGGTGTGTGCATGCGTGTGTGCGTGTGCCTGATGTGTGTATACAGAGATGAGTTAGTAAGATAGGCTTCCCCATGACGCCCACACCCACTGAGAAGGAAGCTAAGGTGCCAGGAAACGGGAGTAACAGGTACAAATTTCAGATGCACAAGGCATCGTAAGAAAGGAACTACTATTTTAAGCTTCCATTTTTTTCTTGCATGCCAGAAATAATCTTGTATGAATTGAGATTTCTTGTGTGTGTGTGTGTGTGTGTGTGTGTGTGTGTGTGTGTGTGTGTCTCACTGTGTATATAGTTTGGTCTGTCCTGGAGATCATGATCCTCTGGGTCCTGGAATTACAGACATGGACATCCTGCCTGGCACCTGGACTCCTTTTTTCCCTTTGGGTTCATAGCTGAGTTTTGAGGATCTTGTCTTATGCTGAGATACTAGAAGAATTCTCTCTAGTCCCCGGTGTCCATACGTCACCCGTCTTCTGGGAGCTTTGTCATCCCAGCTGGTTCTCAGTCAGCAGTCAGACCGGCTGCTAAACGCTGAGCCCTTTTCTGTTGTGTCTGTGTAGCCCCGAGTTTCTGCCCCCGAGTTCGGTGTCACCTGAGGTATTGAGGTACTGAGCTATCCAGACACAACACGAAGCCAGCGCTCTTCCGGGGTACTGTGCTGGGTTTTACTTGATGGGGCAAAGATAAGTTGTCTTCGCTTTTAAACCCTGTAGAGGAAGCCAGGGGCTCAGCCGAGGCTTCTCAAGGGAATCTGGATAGGCTCACACTTCTTCCCTCCTTCACCCCTCCCATCTGTCAATCTGGAGACGGAGATGACCTCACCTTTCTACCAAATCTTTTCTCTGTGCCTTAAGTCCTTTCTCTTCTCTTCACAGCCCAGGCCTTTGAGGCTCAAAGCCTAGAAAACACCACTTTACTCTCTGCTATCAGATCTCTTCCCCGAGGCACTGAGTAGAGAATAAAGTGGCTGACTGAGTGGCAAGGAGGGAAGGTGTATGGGCTGGATGTCCATTCCTGTATCAGAAGTGCTGTTCTTGGACCAGGGTTGGTGGTGCACGCCTTTAATCTACCCCAGCATTCTAGGAGTAGGAGCCCGTGAATTGACATAAGGTCAAGCCAGCCAAGTTTACACAGACCCTCTCTTAAAATAAATGGTTGGAGAAATGGCTCAGTGCTTAAGAGTATGCATTGCTCTTCCGAGGACCGGAGTTCAATTCCCTGTACTCAGTTAGAGGATAAGATGCCTGTAACTACAGCTCCAGGGACTACACCACCTCTGGATTTCATGGGTACCTCTCCACACAAGTGGTACACATTCCTACATACAAAAACACATACACTCGATTAAAAATAATAAATTTTTTAAAAAAGAAAGAGATACTATTTCTTACCTTATCTATGACTGTACCTGAACACACCTGAATTTGGATGATCAAAGAAGCTAAGCAGGGCTGGGCTGGTTAGTGCTTGGATGGGAGATAAGCCATTCTCACCCTGGGATAGGTAGAATCAGGCCATGAGGACAGTTGACCCAAATAACCAGAGCTCACGACTGGCTCCACAAGAGTATGAAAGGCAGTGAAGAGGGCAGGGAATGGGGTTGCCATAATGCCAAGATGTTGGGAAAGCTTCTCTGTGGTTATGAGTGCCCATCTTTTATTCCTTTCCCGAGACTCATTCTACCTGGTCCCAAGTCACTAAAGTACTTAGGTGTAGTCGGAAGGTTTCTCAGGTCCCACCAAGCCGCCACAGTCCCGTGGCCCACTTATAGAATAATCACTCAGAAGCTTATATTAATTGTAACTGTTCCGCCATTAGCTCAGGCTCATTACTGACTAGTTCTTACACTTAAATTACCCATAATTCTTATCTATGTTTAGCCACATGGCTTGGTACCTTTTCTCAGTTCTGCTTTCACATCTTGTTTCCTCTGTGTCTGGCTGGAGACTCCTGACTCAGCCTTCCTCTTCCCAGAATTCTCCTTGTCTGCTTATCCCGCCTGGCTGGAGACTCCTGACTCAGCCTTCCTCTTCCCAGAATTCTCCTTGTCTGCTTATCCCGCCTATACTCCTACCTGGCTACTGGCCAGTCAGCATTTTATTTATCAACCAATCAGAGCAGCACACATTCACAGCATACAGAACGACATTCCACAGCACATAGGACACTTAATATAGTGCCCAGCCTGTTGCATAAGATAGACAAAGGTCACAGCATGTTTGGAAAGGGTCACAGTGATGGGGAATGACATAGGAAGCTGTGAAGAGTGAAGTGGACCTGGAGTGAGGTGTGTGTGTGTGTGTGTGTGTGTCTGGGTGTGTGTCTGGGTGTGGGTGTGGGTGATGAAGGAAAGCAGCTAATGATGCTTTAAAGGACAGATAGACAGTGTGGTCTTTACCCTAGGAAAATGGGAATGAGGAGCTCCTGGAAACATCTGAGCAGGAGAGTAGCCTGAACAAACAGTTTTGAGGGCTGGTGTGAAGGGTGTGGGGGGAGGATGCAGTGACCGAACTACCACACTAACTGAAAGGGAAACGGTGACGGCTTCTTTCCATGGTACCAGTGGAAGGAGGAGGCTGCTTTCGGAGCTCCAGAGGCAGGCTTCAGAGCGTGTAGGGCCTGGTGGCGTGTGGTGTGGTGGGTTATGAAAGCCCGGATGACCTCTGTCTTTCTGACTTGGTTGATGGTGCCATCCCCTGATAAGATGACACAGTTGTGATTGGGGATGATGAGTACAGTTTGGGACGTTTTGGATTTGAGGTGTTTGTTGGAGTCCTGGAGGAGCCAACAATAAGACAGGACTACAGAGCAGCTCACAGAGCAGCTCTGCCAGGCCTGGAACCCTGAGCTGTCGGCTGACCTGGGTCATCGGGAGAATCTAAGGTCCAGCAAGCCTGGACCGCCTCGGACACACAGCTGTGGTCAGCAGTTATTACTGTTTTCTTGCATGTATCTGTAAATGCAACCACACCAAGTTTCCTGTCCGCCTACCACGGCTTGGAGCATGCCTAGTAACATGGGCTCAGTGTTGCCTGGTGGTGACAGTTCAGTTCCACAGTCCTGTAGGGAAGGTCCCATTAGAGCCATGGGGATGAGTCAGAGTTGGTGGCACCTTGCCCCAAAGGAGCTCTCATGTTGATAAGGATGGGATCGATCCCAATGAAGGGTCCCAATAAAGTGTCGTAGGATATGAAGAAGACAACCTCCAGATGCATCAAGAAAGAACGTGTGAAGGAGATAGTGTCTAAAATGGCTTGAAAACTTGGCCTTGGTGTGATTCATGAATAGCCTGAGGGTGGGGCCAGTCCAGATGATGTAATGAGAGGCTGACCATGTGGGGAGAACAAGTCCTGCTGAGTGGGCGGGACTCCTAAGGGCCTGGAGGACTAAGAACTTTAGACTTAATGCCGTGATAGTGGGAGGCCATGGAAGGATGCAAGGAGTTTATTGTTGGGATCATGGGTCGTTAATACATTAAACATAACCCCAGAGAATGCTAAAATGTATCAATGTTGCAGTAAGGAATGGAAACCAAGCATTTTCTCTTGGTTTAAATTTTTTTCATATTTTTTGAGACAGGGTCTCACTGTGGTGCCCTGGCTGGCCTGGAACTCACTATGTAGACCAGGATGATCTCAAACTCATGGAGATCTGCCTGCCTCTTCCTCCCCAGTGCTGGTATTAAAGGAATATACCACCACACTCTACTCTCTTGGGTTAATTTGACCAACAATGAGCCAATCTTTGAAATCTTCTCTTGTCTTCCGTCTATAGTTTGTAGTTACTGGTCTATCTAGTCTGTGTATTGTGTGTGTGTGTGTGTGTGTGTGTGTGTGTGTGTGTGTGTGTGTGTGTGTGTGTGTGATGTCCTTGTCTCCTATCTGTCCTGTGTCTGATTGTGTGCCTGTCTCTGTGTCTGTCTGATCTGTTCCTGTCTTATGTCTATCTCTAAAAACTGGCTTTGAACTATATTTTATAGAACAGCACAGACAATACGGCATAGGGCAAAAATGAGGAATTCTTACCAAAATCTTGAACAGAGTTTTAAAAAGGAAGTAACTTTACTGTTCCCAGCTGACCCAGGATAGTAAACAAAACCACACAAACGTTAACAACTGACACCCACATGTTGCTTTCAACATTTATGGTGGGCATTTGTTTTAAAGTTGCTCCCAACCTGTTAGCTGTTTGCAGAAAATGATTACCACAACGTACACATTATTCTGGGTTAAGGGCATGGACCAGTACATAACAAGAGTAAAGCTATGCATTAGCTTAGGTTGAGAAGTGGAGTGCATGAGGAATCCAAGGTCTAGTAAGACTGGTTTACATTGTTCTCTTAAAGGCAGGTTAAACTTCAACAAGCTGAGTACACAGTAGGACAGCAGGTTAAGTACACAGTCTTAAATAATCTCAAGGGGTATTACTTTCTTTACTAGAGGCCTGCCAAAAGCTCAGTCTTTGGGACGCGAGATATTTTCATAAAATCAGTACAAGGTCAGACTTCCACAATCATGGCAGTAGTTAAGGAGACCCATCAAGCTGGATCTCTGCATTTGGCATTGGGCCTGAAGCTTTTACAGGCTGTTGGACTGGTGGTCAGTCAAGACAGGGGCATGAGGGAAGGAAAGTAAGGGTGGATTAGAGCTGGGAAGACAAACGAGAACTGTGTCCAGCTCTCACTGTCGTCAAGCTTAATGATCACATGGCCCGCAGGAGAAGCGGGCACCTTTTGGCACATAGCTGCACTTGGCCCAGTCTGAGAACAGCTCGGAGGGGATCTGGCTAGAACCAGATGGGCCATTAACAATGGGATTCAGCATATTAGTGATGTGAGTGTTCCTGCAGGAATGGATGTTGCTCACTTTGGCTTCCGAGTTTCTGTACACATATGTCCCATGGACAACTCTAACCAAGCCCATATGGAAAAAAGAACGTTCCGGAAAGCATGTTGCTAGCCTACTTTGGCTGTGCTGATATAAAGCTGCTGTGAGTAAGCTAACTGGAACTTTTTTTGGGGTGATGAACCCAGTATGGGTCTGTGAAGGAGAGACCAGGGCAGAGGAAACCAAGTCTTACTTCCTCTTGGGCTGACTCTTCAGTTTTGGGTGCTGGCCATTAGGTTTTCAAAAATCTCTGAGTCCTCTTTTTCCTTCCAAGCATGTGCCAGGCTGGGTTTCTCCCCTGTACATTAGATGTGGCCATGTGTCGGCCTGTGCCCCGTCTGAGTGGACGCTGTGAGAGCGCATGCAGGCTGGTTTGCGTCTCTCTTCCCTTGGTCATGGTCATGAGCATGGGTTGTAACGGCTTTGTGACCCTGAGTCCCACAAGGGTGATGCGGAGCAGAACCCCAGCCAAGCATAGGTCTGGTCTAATAGACCTGAGACATGAGTGAGAAACAGACCTTAGTGATTTGAAAGCCGCTGAGAACGTGAAGCCATCTCCCCAATAGAACTTAGTCTCTGCTGCCTGAGAAAGATAGAGAATGAGTTAAAAGTGGGACATTTTCCTGGTGAGCAGACCTCCTCACAGCAGGGCTGTGACGGCGGCTTTCACTTCCATGTTCCTCAGACTGTAGATAAAGGGATTTAGTGAGGGTGCCACAATCCCATAGAACAGTGTGATGATCTTATCCACACTGGGGTCTTTGGCTTTGGGCTTGAGGTACATGAAGGATATGGTCCCATAGAAAATCACCACCACTGTGAGGTGGGCAGAGCAGGTGGAGAAGGCTTTGGCCCGGCCTGCAGTAGAGGGGATCCTAAAGATGGCAGCCAGGATGAAAACGTAAGAGAGGCATATGAGCAGGAGTGGAGTCATCGTCAGGACAGCTGTGGCCATCATTAATATCAGTGCGTTGAGGGAGATGTCCCCGCAGGCCAGCTTCAGCACTGCCAAGATCTCACAGAAGAAATGGTTGATGACATTGTGGCCACAGAAGGGGAGGCGCCAGACAAGGATGGAATGCAGCAGCGAGTTGGCAAAGCCTGTTCCCCAGCTTATTCCTGCCATCTGCACGCATAGCTGCCCACTCATGAGCTCTGAGTACCGAAGTGGCTGACAGATAGTCACATACCGGTCGTACGCCATCACAGCCAGAAGCAGGCATTCTGTAGCACCTAGTGCCAGGGTCATGTACATATGCATGGCACAGCTGGGGAAGGAGATGGTCCTTTGGACATCCAGGAAGTTGAGTAGCATCAGAGGTATGAAGGAAGAGGTACCACAGATATCTATGAGAGAGAGGTTGCTGAGAAAGAAGTACATGGGGTTGTGCAGGTGGGGGTCCAGCACAATCAGCTCCACCAGCAGGGAGTTTCCCAGTAGAGTGGTGCAGTAGACGCCCAGACAAAGCACAAACAGGACTATCTCTAGGCTGTGGTGCTCCTGGAGTCCCAGCAGGACATACCCTGTCACAGCTGTGTGGTTTGCCCAAGCCATCTCGTTCCTCTTTTTGCTGCCTGGACCACACAGCTCTGGCTAGCTGGGAAATGAGCAAGATGGGACCAGCAGCAGGTCAGCCTCCCTCCGGGGTTTAGCTGCATCATCTGTAGAATGAGAGAGTCGGACTTTAGATCTGCAGCTGGTCTTCTCAGTCACACGCTACACACTCTGGTCCCCTAAACTCCTCTCTGTCCTCCACAAACGGTGCTCAGAGGAGACAGAAGACTCACGTTTGATGTCTTCTTTTGGAATCTAAAGTGATTTTTTTTTTTTGAGATAGGGTCTCCCTATGTACCCAGGCTGGCCTCCAACCCTCCATCCTCCTGAGGGCTAGTATCACAGGCAAGTGCCACCACACCCAGCTTGTCAAGTGTCCTTGAACATTCAAAGGAAGCTCTGTTTTAGATTACTTCCTATAACAATCATGCCCAGAGCATCTCCGCTGCATTCACTCTCTGGGTATTATTTTGTGTGCCTACTCTGTGCTAGGTATTGTTTCTTTCATGTTTCACAACAGAAAGAAAAAGAATCAGGGAAAAAATTTACAGCTGTCATAGTTACTGCCCAGCTCCCTTGACTGAGACAAGATGAGCTCTGGAAGGTAGGTGTTTGACGGGTGCTGTCACCTAGCATGGAATATTTGGCTTCCCAGGATGTGTAAGTCTGGTTGCTGGTCACCTCTCTCTAGGGAGTTGCAGGACAGTCTCTTGATTTTCAAAGGGAAATGCAAGAGCATGCACACCTCAGTAGAGCTGCTGCTGGTCCCGGGGTTTAACCTGGTTCTGCAAGCCTGTGCGTCTGTGCGCCTGTGCGCCTGTGCTAAGTGCTGCGGAAGCGGCAGGCTGCTGTGGCTCCTGCTCCCCTGAAGTTTAAAACCACTTGCCCTCTGGCTCTCAGTGACCTTGGACACAGCCCTTCCTCTCTTGGGGCTTAAGAGCCTTGAGAGTTTCTCCGAGTCTAAGACAGAAAGAGATCAATCTGAACTCTGAAGAGACTTGCTAGCCTAGTCGTCCTGGATGTGTGGTTACAAGATCTTGTTTAGCTCAACTCCCGTGGCAGAGGCATTTGAGGCTCTTGTGAGCACACTCTGCTCTGCTCGCCTGCCTCATGCGAACCGCATGCTTCCATCTGGTTAGAGTGTTTCCATCATTAGATGACGTCTCCACCACCCAGTCTCATCCCTCTTCCTGTGAGAGGTCCTTGGGCTGCACCGGCATTTCTCACCCACTCTTCTAGCCTCAGTTTGCACACCTCTGCGTGGCTGCCTCACATGACTCTGGCCACCCGATAACAGGATGCTCACCTGCCTGTTAGTAGATGTATTTCAGATGAATTGTGTTATTGTGCCCCTCCCTTACTCTCCCCCTCTGACTAGACTATTGAATAGTGAGCTATTGAAGTGAAAGGGATATATCCAATTTGTCACTGTCACCCTCCAGTGTTCTGTTCCCAAGACGACCAGTGATTGCCATTCCAACTGAGCTATGTGTTGAGATGGCTGCTGTCACTGTGCCCTATATACTGTTTTCTGATATGAACACTCCCCCCGCCTCCACCACAAAGATGGAGTCATTGGGGAGTGGCAGTCTCCTACCTAGGGAACAGCTACTTTTTCTTGGGGGGCCACATCAGGAGCATAGTGGGCTTCATCACAGCGTTAGGGTCTGCTCATGACATATCAGGGCTATGAGAACTAACCCAATCTAAGTGGAGAAAATACCATGGTGCCAGGCCACCAGTGGCTTTGACCTAGAACTGGGCACATGATAGGACACCAGGAGCATCAGTCAGGAGGTGCCAGATTATGCTGCAGTAACACACAACCTCATAACTTTAGCTAGCTTAACATGACAGGCATGTCTTCTTAATACATATACAACGTGGATTTCAGAGGACTCTCTTCAGAGGCTGGCTCATGGGGACCTCTGCCACTCGGGACATCACCAGTTATAAACGGCTGGGGTAGGACACACTGGAACATCTCCACCAGCAGTTAAATGCTCAGACCAAGAAGTATGACACACTGTATGTACATCTACCCACAAACCACTGGGTCTGTGTAGTCCCAACACGTGCTCAGAAGGGAGAGAACCAGAGAGGTTACTGCACATCAGCACTACATCTGGGCACCTTGGCATCTCATGGCACATTCAAATCCATTCTAAATAGGGCATGGTGGCACATGCCTATAATACCACAAAGGACACCAAGGCATGAGAATTGTAGGTTTGAAGCCAGCTTGAGCTCCATGGAGAATACCAGGCCAGATTGTTTTTGTTTTTGTTTTTTTCAGAGACAGGGTTTCTCTGTGTAGCTTTGGTGCCTGTTCTGGATCTCGCTCTGTAGACCAGACTGGCCTTGAACTCACAGAGATCCCCCTGGCTCTGCCTCCCGAGTGCTGGGATTAAAGGCGAGTGCCATCACCACCCAGCTCAGATTTTTTTTTGAATGATTCTATCATCTGTCTAGATGTCACACACTATTATGTCCCAGAAAAACACCATATTCAAAGAGCTATGTGACACTGAGTGTCTCCGAGAACCATGCGTCTATTTCCAGTCTACTGTCTAACAACGTGTGGAGGCAGAAAAAGCCTGGCTGGGTCCTGGAATGGAAGGGAAGAGACCTGGGTTCGATTTCTGGCTTTTGTTCCCATTCTGCTGTGGGACCTTAACCAAGTTCCTCCAACTCAGAAATGGAGCCATTCAGCTAGGTGATCTCTGGTACTCTGTAACCTCCCAAACAGTCCCTCACATTGTTCCAGAAACTTCTAACCCCGTGGCCTGCAGGCCAGTGTTACTTTGCAAGGCAAATATCCCATAAGTTTCAGTGCTGGTGAACCTAATGGTAACCACTTCATTCTTAAAAATGCAGGCTTCAAAGATTATTTTCATAGGAATAAAGGGACACAATAAATAGAAAGGCCTGTTCTTTAAAATGTCTGGATTTGGGATTTCTGCTTCGCCATTTCCACTGCCGCCATGTGAGAGGGTAGTGAGAGGGGCCTTGGAATCAGGCTGTCCTGGGCCCCCCACACCCAGCTTTGCCAATTGCGAGCATGTCCCCTCCTGCCCCCACAGGTTTTTGTTGTGGTGGTTGATTGTTTTTTTGGTGTGTGTGTGTGTGTGTGTGTGTGTGTGTGTGTGTGTGTGTGTGTGTTCATTTGTTTGAGATAGGGCTATTAACTGGCCTGGAACTTGCTGTATTGACCAGGTTAGCCTTAAGTTCATAATCATCCTCCTGCCTCCGTCTCCCAATCTGGGATTGCAAATGTGCACCACCGTGTTCTGTCTGCTAACCGTTTTTTGAGCCTCAGTTTCCTTACCTGTCAGAGGGACAGTAGTGCCTCCTTGCAAATGGTGATAGTTTCGGAGTGCATGGGGTGCAGTACAGCTGTTAGTTCCGAGCCTGGCTCGTGGTAAATATTCAGTGAGTGTGGATATTATCATTGTCATGTAATAGGTACTTTAGCTTTTAAAGGTCTTGAAGAAGGGTTACTGTAAATAGCATGCAGATGAATTCCTTACCATGGACGGACTGATGCAGTGGCGTAAGAACAGGCGGGGGTCTGGAGTCATGCTGGCTGACCTGAAGCTTGCGGGAACTGGTTGGGTAGTCCTGAGTTCATAACTAGCAGGTGCAATGTGCGAAGGTGGGTCAGGCTGAGGGGCCCCAAGGATCAGCGTCCTGATCCCCTGCCACACAGCCCGCCTGCTCCCTTTCCAGGGACCACATGGTCCCTGCCCAATTTAAAGTTCAACTCTACAAGCTCACAAACTTTCAGCCTTGCCTGCTGAGGGACTCGGGCTCCTGGGACTCCAGGTTCCTTGCCCTGTTCCAAGAGGTCCCTGCTGATGTGAGGTGGACAGAGAAGGTCGGACCTTCTCTGTAGTCTTACCTCTTGCATGCCACAGGCTCTAGGGTGGGGCAGTCCTTTACTAGGCCTGGGCACCTGCATTGGAAAATGATTTATCTCCTTCCGTGATTGCTGTGTGCTCTTAGATCCATCCATCCATCCATCCATCCACCCACCCAGCTTTGAGGAAGGCTATTTACTGGGGGAGGTATGAGACCCCCAAATGCATGTAAGGGGTGTTTTAAATGCTCACCTCAGGCATGTGAATTTTTATAGATTTTCCCCTTCCCTTCACAGCCTTTTACAACAAAGATACTATTTACAATTTAGATACTAAAATACAGCTATAAAAAGACAGTAGAATTTATAATTTCTCATACTATGCCATGATGTATCTTCTGGGATTTTTATCAGGAATACAAGTCAAAGCAATGATTAGTTCTGATTTTCTATCTGCCCCTGGAATGGTGCAGGCCTGTTTGCTGCCTGGGAGACACTTGAACCCAACAGGTCTGAGACCAGGATTGGTGTCTCCTCAGCCCTGCCTGCTGCTCTTGTCTTCTGTACCACAGCAGACGGTGGTAGCGTCTCTACCCATCCGAGAAATCCCCTGAAGCCCACGGTCTTCCCTCTTCCTCACCCACTTCTGCGATGCCGAAGAGTACAGGTAAATCACATCTATTATCCCGCACGTCTCCTCCTCCCGGACATCTTGCTCATGCCTGTCGGTAACAGCGTTTCTGTTCCACCCTCCTCTCTCGGCTCACATGGCTGAGGCTGCATCACCAGCCTCCTCCCTTCTGCCCCACCGGAGCCCATCGACTCTGGAGCAAGATGACCTCCCACTTCCTAAAAAGAATACCGTCATTTCTCAGGTCCAAGGTCCTATTTATTTAGAAATATTGAACAATGTTGAAAAAGCCAAGAGAACAGTAGTTACCTGTAACCCCACTGCCTAGAGAGGAAGCAACTGTTATGAACATCTCATTGCAGTTTTCCGGAATTTTCTACAGACTTAGTCATTACCCATGAGACAAAGAATTAAACAGTAAGATTAGGGAGGCACTGAACGCGATGTTTCCTGGTCTGCCTTCCCCCGCTCCTGTTAATTACATTGTGATAATTTCCTGTCATCCAGTATTTCTCAAAAATGTTTCCTGTGTCTGTGTTGCATCCCACCATTGGACTCCACCCGGATTAATTTAAACATTCTTTTCCAATTGGACATCAAGATTGCAGTATTTTTTGTACTATGTATTAATGTGTTTTGTGCTGTAATTAGAATTCTTGTATATAAATATTTAACTGTGTCCTATTGTGTGTGTGTGGGTGCGTGCGTGTGTGTGTGTGTGTGTGTGTGTGTGTGTGTGTGTGTGTCTGTGTGTGTGTGAGGGCATCTCACGTAGCCCAGGCTGATCTCAAACTTGCTATACGGTTGAGGAGTGCCTTTAACCTCTGATCTTTCTGTCTCTGTCTCCTAAGTGCTAAGATCACAGGCATGCACCACCATGCCCTGCATTTGTTCTTCATTTATTCCCTTAAAGTAGATTTCTAGAAATGACAGTGTTAAAAGATCTGGAAGTTTTTAAGGTCCCTGGTTCATCTTTCCACTTACTGTACAAGAAGTTCATACCGACTTATTACCGCTCCTTATTTAACAGTAGGCACAAGATGAGGAGAAGCCGATTCACTAGGTGTGAAAGGGAAGATGGTACCCTGGCAGTGACGGAAAGCAGCCTGGCCTGATTGCTGCCAGCCCCACTCATGCATGCTCAGAAGGTATCCAAGAGCAGTGGTACCTTCCCCTTGGGCCTCTGCTCATATCAGATGTGGTGGGGAGATGAAGCCCAGCATTGCAACCAGTAGTTTGAGGAGATCCCTGCTTAGGAACCTCCACTTGGGTAAAATGGAATCGTTGGCTACACCACAGAAAAAAAATTCAGCAAAAGTCAGAGACATGGAGGGGAAAGGATGTACAACGAAGGGGGTGCTAACTGGAGAGGGAAGCTGTACTTAGGTGTCTTTACAATGGATACATAAATTTTTGTCACATTGCTTAGAGGATGTAATTTACAGCTGGGCATAGTGCTGTGGGCCTTTAATCCCAGCACCCAGGAGGCAGAAGTAGGCAGATCACTATGAATTTGAGGCCAGTCTGATCTATATAGTGAGTTCCAGGCCAAGAGACCTTGTCTAAAAAAAAAAAAAAAAAAAGAATAAAAACAAATAATGTAATTTATAAAACTTAAGGATTAAGCAAAATTTGAAAGTAAAAGTATATGATTTAAAAAAAAATTTATTTTTGTTTTATGTGTATGAATGTTTGCCTGCTTGTCTGTATGTGCACCATGTGTGTACAGTACCCATGGAGGCCAGAAGAGGGCATCGCATCCCCTGGACCTGGTGTTACAGATGGTTGTGAGTCGCAATGTGGTTGTGCGTCCTCTGCAAGAACAATAAATGCTCTTAACTGCTGAGCCATCCTTCCAGTTCTTATTTCTCATCCTCAAGTATTTCCTTTGTAAATGAATTGTAAGGTCTACTATTTAGAAGTAGGGATGAGATGGGAATGCTAACATAGTTAAACTCAAGGCACAGACATTTTGGCCCTAAGTAAGTAGAGTTCTTGATCGTTCCGTGGTTAGCTTATTCTTTTTTTTTTTTTTTTTTTTTGAGACAGGGTTTCTCTGTGTAACCTCTCTCTCTTGACTATCCTGGAACTTGCTTTGTAGACCAGGCTGGCCTTGAACTCACAGAGAGCCTCCTGGCTCTGCCTCCCAAGTGCCGGAATTAAAGGTGTGCGCCACCACTGCCCAGCTTGAGTTCTTGATCGTTTTGAACATCCTGTTTGAGACGTCTTTAGGAAAACGAGTACCGCCTCTGCAGGCAGGCTGGGTTTTATCAGTTATGTTGAAGTTTCTTGACTCTTGGCCAGGCAGACATGCAAACTAGATCCCAAGGGGCGCGGCTTCTGTCCCTTGCCCTGCTCCTTAATTTCCTTTCTCTTTCTAGCCTGGCTCACTGAGAGTCCCAGGGGAAGGAAGCAGGCCCAATAGAGGAATAGAGGGCTTGTGTGGGGCTGTGGTGGCCTGCAGCCAGCTAGCAGGAGGGCCTGACCGCTGCTTGGAGGTCAGGCCTAGCTCACTATGGTCTAGATGATGCCTGTCACTGAGGCCAGGGTGAGTGGGGGAGTGGATGTGTGACTCCTTCGTGTGCTCATAAGCTCTCAGAAAGGGAAACTGGGGAGGCTGAGCAGCCAGCAGGGACAGGGATGGAGGGCTCAGGGATGGGGTGATGAGGGTACCCCAGATGAGGCAGGAATACCGGAAGCTGCAGCTGCTGTTGGGTGGGGTTGAAGAGGAACCTCAGCTTAAGGTTGCTCTAGGTGGTTGGTGTCCTCTGCCCAGACAGATCTGGGATCTTGTACTTTTGGATCTAACTTCTGCCTCTCCTGTCGTCTCCCAGAGGACCAGGCCTTGCCTAACCTCTGTGGACTTCATCGCAGCTCTGTTCAGATTTGGGAAGGACCCTATACTACCATGAGTGTCTCCACATTTTCATGTTCATGTATGCACTTCAGAAAGGTGTTCAGGGCCTGGAGCTGAGCCAGGGTGGATGTTGGGGCAAAGTAAGATGTGATGTTCCCTGCTCTTGGTAGAATATTGGAAACCAAGGACGCAGGAGGGACACAAAGGAAGGAGCAAATGTGTGTGGGCCTCAAGGGACACATGGGGTGTGTGCCGGAAGAGCTGCCTCACAGGAAGAACACAAGAAGAGCGTGGGGGGTGGCAGTGTGGGGAAGGGTGAGGCTGGTGTGGGGGGCTATGAGGCAGGAGAGTGTGAGGAGAGGGCTGGCAGCTAGGCAGTCAGGTAGGCAGCTGTGAGAACCGGCTGAAGAGCATCTGCTTCATCTTGGGAGCAGTGAGGAGCCATTTATGGATGTCAGTCAGGAGAGTGATGAAATCTTAAGTGGTTCTTAAAATGGCCCTCCCGATGCCTCACTGAAGAGAGACTCAAGAGGTCAAGTCTAATGACTAATATCCATTTATTTATTTATTTGAGACTGGGTCTTACTATGTAGCACAGGCTGACATCAAATTTACCACCCTCCTGCCTCAGCCTCACAAATGCTGGTATTATAGGTGTGAGCCATGGCACCTAGCCAAGGCTGAAGTCTTGAGATCATCCCAGAGGCTACTGTGGAGGTCCAGAGGCGGACGCTGGGTACTAGGACAGGGCAGGAGCAGAAGGTGAGTAGTTCTGTGTCAGGATTAGTGGGACTTGGTGCTGTCTTTGGAGTGGAGGGCCTCATAGTTCTACGCTCTTGGTATTGGCATATGAGGACCCACACAAGCCAAGCCCCTACCGGTGACAAGCCCTGCCCTCCCTCACCTACAGGCCCATCTACTGCCCCACACTTTCCTGGCAGCCTCCTTCACCTCCTTGTTCCTCAGGCTGTAGATGACGGGGTTCAACATGGGTGTGACCACAGCGTAGAGGACTGTGAAGACCTGGTCAGAGATCCGGGCCTCCTTGCTCTTGGGTTTCATGTACATGAAGATGATGGTGCTATAGAAGAGCAGGACCACGGCCAGGTGTGCGGAGCAGGTGGAGAAGGCTTTGCGGCGTCCGGTGGCTGAGGGCACCCTCAGGATGGTGGCCAGGATTAGCATGTAGGACAGGCAGATGAGGGTCAGGGGTACAGGCAGGAGGAGGATGGCACCCACCAGCAGGAAGGCATCGCTGACAGCGGTGTCCCCACAGGCCAGCTTCAGCACGGCCAGGATCTCGCAGGTGAAGTGTCTGATCACATGGTGGCCACAGAAAGGCAGCCTCATGGCAATGACCGTTTCCGTCACCGACTTAAAGAGGCAGAGTACCCAGGAGGCCCCTGCCAGCACCAAGCAGAGCTTGTGGCTCATGAGCACAGGGTACCTGAGTGGTTGGCAAATGGCCAGGTAGCGGTCATAGGCCATGATGGCAAGCAGCAGGCACTCTGTGGAGCCCGTGGAAAGGCTCAAACACATCTGGATGGCACAGCCAGTAAAGGAGATGGTCTTCCGGGATGATAGGAGGTGGACCAGCATCAGGGGCACAAAAGTAGATGTGTAGCAGATGTCCAAAATGGAAAGGTTGCCCAGAAAAAAGTACATGGGCGTGTGTAGGCGGGCATCCAAGATGCTCACGGCCACAATGGCAGTGTTCCCCAGCAGGGTCACCAGGTACATGGCTGAGCACAGAGGAAAGAGTAGGTGCTCCAGGGCGGGGTAGCCAGAAAACCCCTTCAAGATGAACTCAGAGACTGTTGTCCTGTTGCTGGTCTCCATACTGCAGGGTTCTGGCTTCCACACAGTGGGGCGGAAGGACAGAGCGTGCAGGGTAGTGGGACCACAGAGGCTGCTAAGGTCTTTTCCAGCTGGGACACACTTTCTGGGACTCTGGGGCCGTCTCCTCACCCTCTGCGGGCTTCAGTGCATCCATGTGAGAAGTGAGGATGACTTAGAACAGCGTTTCCCTAAGAGGGTGTTCATGGAGGTGTGAAGGGGCAGTCTGAAGAATCACTGTGAGCCAATGCTGAGTGAGAAATCAAAGCCTTTACTATAGGACTCGCCAAAGCCTTTAAACGGCCGATGTTTATTGGTGGCTCTCCAAAAGCAATGTAGATTATGTGCTCCCAAACTTACCTGACCCTAGATCCTCTTTCACCCCTTAACCTATCACAGACAAGTGATCTACGAACTGAGTTCGGGAGCTGATGGGCTAGGTCAGAGGTCCTCAAACTTGAACACACACTGGACTTTCTTAGAAGGCTGTCAAGACACAGCTCGTTTGCCTCCCAGAGTTTCTGGCTTAGGGGATCTGTGTGCTGCCACTGCTGCTCTGCTGGCCCAGGCACGGATGTCTCTGAAGGTCCTCCTGGCTTTGCGGCAGCCTCTGACGCATGGCTTACACTCTTCCTACTATCTGGAATGTCCTCATTTATCCTTCAGCTGTGGTAGTCTGATTTGTCTCCTCAGACCAGCTCTGGTCTCCATGCACTCTATGCTCTGTGTCTTGGGTGGATGTTGGGGGACGGGGGGTGGGGTGGGGGGGACACGGACTGCTGCTGGCCTCTAAGCCATGAGTGCCCCTCCCCCACAGAGACGCTCTGTCAGCAGCTTGGTATAGGCTGAAGCTTTAGAAGTTGCCTCTTTGTGAGCTCTCTGGAGAAAAGCCAAGGGACACTGAAAGCCAGTTCCCAGCCTTATTTTCTCCCAGCCCGAACAAAGGATGTTTTGGCTTCATAACCACCAAGGTTACTAGCACAGGAAGTGCCCTGACAAGTTCACCGGGGAGCTCTCTTACAGCAGGTGGGGAAACCGAGCCCACACGATGGCCGCCAGGGAGGTGAGTCTCCAGGAGAGTCTTCCTAGCTCTGAAACACCTCCCCATATGGAGCAGACATTTGCCTCCAACACTCCCCAAACACCTGCTGTCCTGGCTGGACATCTTCCTGCTTCCTCCCCATAATCCTCTTCCTAGCAAAAAAGCAGATTTTCAGCCCTCCATGGTGTCTCAGAGTACCTGGAATGATGCCACCATAACACGGTGCCCAAATCCGCCTCCTCTCTGACGCTCCTCCTGGCGACTGTCCCCTCCTTTCACTGGCTCCTTATTTATTCTTTCCCAAATCAAGAAGTGACATGGGACCCGCTCCACACCAAACACTGTGCTGCGCATGAGGGGAACAAGTGAGGACGTAGGCTGGGCACCGACTCCAAACCCCTCCCGGGCAGAGTTCTCCACGCTCCAATGCTGGTTCCCCCTCCTCTCTCTGCATGCCCTAAGAGGCATACAAACTTCTTTGTAATAATGGGGCACTTGAAGGGTCTCTCTGGGCCTCTGCCACACCTCCGGCCAAGGCTAGGTGGCCCCAGTGACTATTCCTTCTTCCCATTCAGTACTAACATAGAACTCAGTGCTTAGTCCTACACTGACCCCACCTCTGGGAATCAAGGGCCACTCTGCAGCAAGGAGACCTCCTCTGATCTAGTCCTAGGGTCTCGGGTCGAGCTCTGGTCTCATCCTGACTGTGTCCACATCACCATGGTATCAGGAGGGGTATGAGCAGTGAGCTCCCCACCAAAGCTCGGTAGGGATTCTCTGAAGCGGGATGCTTGGTGGGGCCATCTCTTCTAGCAGAACATCATTGGAGACAAGCACTGGGACAAGGCATGGAGGTGGTCCTGTCTTTCCCTTGAAGCTCTGGTGACCGGAGTAAGCCATGGCCTCCTTTTTGCATGGTTGCACACACAGCACTTCACCACTTCAGTCACTAGGAAACATGGGCACCTGAGGCCATGGGCTCCGGGCAGGAATACACATATACCCACATGGGGTCACCTCCTGTGTACACATTCAGGTGGGCACACAAATATCTGTCTTACACACTGGTACATATACATCTGTGAGGCTCATTTGTGCACATGTGGCCATTCACATATTCACCTGAGTGTATTGCATAGATGTCTCTCTCTCTCTCTCTCTCTCTCACACACACACACACACACACACACACACACACACACACACACACGCGCGCGCACACACACATGCACACATACACACATGCACATCAGGACTGAAAGACTCTTGGACCTATGGCCAAAGTGCTTTACTGAGCTAGGCAGGAGACTACAGCTTGGTAGGGTTGAGGGGAGTCATAAGGACGGAGCAGCCCTGAGAGTGGGGCTTACAAAGGAGCCTGGGACAAGTTGACAAAACTGACTGTGTGTCCTGTCTGCTTCCTAGCCTGTGTGTCAAAGATGAGTCTCTCTGGCTCTGACTTTTCTCCTACAGCTGAGGAATACAGGAGGGGACCCAGGCAGGGCCTTTGTCTGTAGAGACCACAGGGTCCTTTCTGTCTCCCACTTCCTCCTGACCGCTGCTCCCTAAATTCCGGTTCACAGTCAGCCTCCCTTTACCTCCGGAGCCGACTGAGTTTTCCCCTCCATGTCCCATGTGTTCCCTTGTGCTGTAGCTCAGGGTGACAGCCATGTCTTCACTTCTTGCCAGCTGCCATCCCTGCCAGCCCACGGCGATGTCATCTCCTTCCTCTCCTCTCTTAGGTTCTAAGGCCAAGGTGCGGCTCTAAGTAACTTCTTGCTGTCTTCCTGCAACTCCCTAGGACTAAGGAAAATGGAGTGGGCAACTGGCCAGTTCTGGACTGCTTGCAGACACTCTTGCAGAACTTGGAAGGGGCTTACACATCGGCTGGATCCTTACACTTGGGGAAACTGAGGCCCAGAGATGGGAAGCAGCACAGTGAATCAGAATGGGAAGCCACAGCCCAGTGACTCCTCAGGGCTCCCCACCCTTCCTTCTGTCTACACACTCCACATCTCACCTACCTTCAGTCTCCTGATTTGTGCTCTGGCTCGCTGGCAGAAGCTTCACTCCAGCTTGACTCTCTAAACCGTGGAAACATGCCTAGGTTTTTGTGGAATTCATGGAGAGTTTTCAACTTGATAAAATCAAGTGGAACATTTAGAATTTGGCAGAATTATCTTAAGGGCTCAGAACTCAGCAGGATTCTCTGATGTAGGCGGAACTAGAACATTTTGGTGGCTCAAGACTGAATGGATCCTCGGTGGTTTTCTGTGGGCAGGAGTGGCTCCTCATTCTGGGCAGATCTCAGTGCCATCCTGACCAACAGCCTTCTAGGGAGCAGGTGGTCCAAATGGAGGCGGCACCATTCAAAGTGCCCCGTATACCAAGGGATTGCAAATCCCCAGGCAACTTAGAGTGGGGAAAGGAAATGTACCTAGCTTACACGCTTTGGGATGCTTCAGGGAGGATGTCCCAAAGACCCAATTACACAGTTTAGTTAGAGAGCTTAATTAGCGTCGAAAAGTTGGAGAAAGTGACTCAGGGCTCAGGGATCCATGCTCGCAGCTCCGTCCCCAGCCAGAGTCGGTCCAGGAACATTTATGAATAAATCAATGAAGGAATGGATGCTTAATTAATGGGATGAATACACCAGCACTTTTAATCAGTTTACAAATAAACAAAGGACAAGTAAACAAGCCAGAGGTCTTGCTGCCTTCCAGGTGGAGTGTGAGGGGTCTTGGCTCAGTTCTCATCAGGAGTTTACAGAGTTACAAAATCTGGAGTGTAACAGGAGAGGGACCAGATAAAGAGACAAGAATTCTAAGTTATCTGACAAGCCAGTGCTTAAAGACCGTCTTGACCAAGATCCACTGTGTGGACAAGAGATGCTGTGAGAGGTCCAGAGTCAGCTCAGTGTCATCAGAGGGGCAGAAGCTTGGCCATGGTCCCCCGGGCTACTCAAGTCTCCTCGGTCACTGCGTGGTCTGCCCAGGTAGCTCATGACCCCTCTCCTCTCTGCCTCCACCTGGCCCCTCTTCCCTGTACTCACAGCATGCAAGAGGTGCTTCTTCACTGAAGTCCCTTCCAGAATCCATACCCCTGACGACTTAAGGGTCTCTTTGAAGAGCGTCATAAGGTGGAGGATGTAGTTCAAGGTATAGCACTCCTCTCGTTTACACAGGGTCTGGGGCTTGATTCCCAGCCTCAGAAAAAAAGAAAAAAGAAAGAAAGAAAGAAGAAAAGAAAGAAAGAAAGAAAGAAAGGAAAGAAAGAAAGAAAGAAAGAAAGAAAGAAAGAAAGAAAGAAAGAAAGAAAGAAAGAAAGAAAAAAAGAAAGAAAGAAGTCATAGTATATTTTATTTTGGAACCAGGTTTTGTGTTTTTGTTGTTGGATTTTTATTTAAGCATTTTAAAACTGCAAGAGCTAGGCACGTTGCTCATTCAGTGCAGTGCTTGCCTAGCCATGCATAAGCCCTGGGTTCCATCCCCAGCACTATATACATTGGGCAGGGTGGCACACACCCCTGGCACTTTGGAGGTAGTGGCAGGGGGATCAGAAGTCCAAGGCCATCCTCTGCTCCATAATGAGTTTAAAGTAAGCCTGGGTTACATGAGACCTTGTCTCAAAAAGAAAAAAAAAGTAGTAATTTTGCTAGTTTACGTATAAAGTAACATAGAAAGCATTCTTGTAAAATTTTTAAGGACTCTGGTGACATGGGCAGTAATCCCAGCTATTCAGGAAGATCAAAGGCCAGCCTGGGTGATTTAATGAGATATTGTCTCAAAATAATCAAGGGAAAAAGGTGGGTTTTAACTCAATGGTGGAACTCTTGCCTACTGTGCCCGAGGCTCCAGGTTCAATCTCTAGCAATGCAAAATAAGTAAATAATGAGTGAATAAACCCAATAAAAATTTTAAAAAATATACAATTCTATAGTGTGAAAGTTATACTTACCCTC